TTGCACTTCCCCTCCCCTGTGGTTGTAAGCCGCCCTGAGTCCCCTCAGGGAAAAGGGCGGCATATAAATCCCAATAAACCTCAAACTTCTTTCTCACAAGAATGTGGTGAGAGAGGATGGGTTCCAGAACGAGTCCAAAAACTCAGAAGACTAAACCCCTGGTGACCAATCCAGATTGGATTCTGCAACATTATTTTGTATATTTGTTTTCATTCATGGAATGAAATTTATAATAATTGAGAAGGAACGAAGAAACCGCTGGAGAACTTCACACATGTTGTTAAAACATAGTATTGGGCTTTCTGACAAATCTGAAATAAGCTAGAACAGAATTTGGCCTCCCATTCTTCCCCACACCCATCTATTGCTTCTTCAGGGCCAAGAGGAGATTTTGGCAGAAACAGTTTGACTTTAAAACATTGTAGCATTTAAGATTTAAAACAAAGAGCCTAATTTTAAGCACACCACTGGACCTGTAATTCCCTTCTGTAAAAGCACATTCCTCAAACCAAGATGCTTTGTTCAAATCACTGAGTTCAGACACTAAACATGAACATCAACATTTTTTCTCCTAGCTATGGAAAAGGAGAGGGAAAGGGGTATTCCTGTTTTCTTCACTTTCATATAGAATCATAACCCCTAAGGATCCTTTGAACCAGTATCCAATTCAGCAATAAGATATTATTTGTGGAAGCCACAGGATCACTGATATACAATAGTTATATAAGCATGTATGTAAGTATGAATTAAAATGGGTGTTTTCCTGAATCAGGTGCCCTGCAGAAATTCCTGTGTACAACTCTATTTCTAGTTGACATAGACATCTGCTCACCTTCTTCACAATGGCGCCCTTTAAATCCAAGTGGGCAAAGGCAGATGTATTGATCTGCTTTGATGGTTGTGCAGGTACCACCATTAATGCAAGAAGCTTCATCACATATCCCACTGCTACATTCACCTAAAGCAGGGAAAAATATAAAACAATGACTTATCATTTAAGTAAGTTAGGTTAGATTTCATCGGTGCCACTTCATGGTTGACTGAATGGACAAGTGTCATTCAAGTCAAGTGTCATTCAAGTCAACCCAAGAGTTCAATAAAGCTGCTTGTTTTTCATTATAATTTCTTGTTTCCTATACAAACATGAGAATATACAAAGAAATGTGTCACTTCTAGGTAACACATAAACCAATTAAGAGACTGAATTCCATGCTACAAGAAGTTTGATTTGCTACAAAATGATAGCAATGAAGCAATAATTGCAACATTTTTCTATAAATGACCGCTTGCCAGAGGTCATACTTTTCATTAGCTTCTTTCTTGTTCTTTTGGACAGCCTACTCCAATCTCTAGATTAAGTGCCATATAACTTCAGTTCAGAGGTGGTATTCAGTCGGTTCAGACTGGTTTGGGTGAACCAGTAGTGAAGATCGCGGGTGGGCCCGCCCAGGGTGGGCCCGCCCAGGCGCTATGCCATCATATTTAGCCATGTTTTTGAGGCCGGATGGAAGGTGCATGCACGAGGAAAGCACATGCGTGGAAAGTGCACACACGCGAAGCAAACGTGTGCACAGCGAATCGATGGTAAAAATAAGTGAAACCCAATGCTCCTTCAATTATCTTTTTTTTTTCTATGTTTGATAGGACCTATACTAAGAGGTGCTAAACAGCAGGCTCTCAACCTATTAGCTACAATGCAACTAGTTAAATATTCCATCTGCATGACAGAGGATCCATGTTGCCCAAGTATAGTATCGTTATCGGTACACTTCAAGGGGTTGTTGTACTCTACAAAGCTCCAACCTCCTATCTCTAATTGTCCCTGTGCATTCCAAAAGATCAGATAGGATGAGCATGGATTTGATTACTGATTGATCAAATTCATGAGGCCATCCATCTTATAATATTCTAGATGGTGAACTAAGATGTTTTTAAAAAAAATGTAATTATCCAAATAAATGGAAAAAAAAATGTGTCAAGTTCCCTATAAAAATATCTGTACCAACATATTGCTCATGCTCATGCTCTATTAACATGCTGGTTCCAGTGCCCGGGGACGATGGGGAAGCCAGGTTTTCATGGTCTTCCCGAAGGCTAACTCTGTCATGTCCATCCAGACATGGTATTTAGGCAGTTCAGACCGGTTCTGGTGAACTGGTAGCGAACATTTTGGTTAGTTCAGAGAACCAGCAAATACCACCTCAGGTTGGCCCCGCTCTCTTGCCCCTGCCGTTTCCTATGCTATATTCCCTTGTTTTTTAGCTCAGCAAATTTGCATGGTAGAGTGGGCTGCTGTGCTTCAGCTGAGCTAAACAACAGCTCAGCTCACCAGCGCTGACACTGAGGGCAGGCTTTGAGTGCTGTGCATGCAAGCAAAGCTCTCTCTCATAGAACCAGTAGGAAAATATTTGGAATCCCATCACTGCGTTCATCCATCTCTCTGAAATGGGTTGTTCCATAATGAAAGTATTATGAGAGAGAAGAAAATGTTCCCTCAGACTCATTAGATGACATTACTTCATTCTGGGAACCCAAAACATGCTCAATCTGGCAGTGGGACAAGCAGAAACTTTGGAGATAGATGTTCCTGCAATCCTCATGGCCCCTGCTATACTAAACAATGCAACTACCTGCAATGCCCTTCCTGCATAACACTGATTCTGATGGCCTTTAGAAAACCCTGAAGATCTGGCCTTTCCCTCTAGCAATGGACCAGGGTGCATTAGCATCAGCATGTATCAATCTATGTGAAGTATGCTTTGATTCCTGCAATGTAGGTATTTATATGCGTTCTTTTGTGTCGTTTTCGTTTGTGATTATTTCTATTTCTGTGGTTGCTTTCCTGCTAGTGGTCACGGAGAGTTGCCTACAGGTGGTCAGCTTTACAAATTATGTCAATGCATAGAACATCTTCTGTAATCAGCATCGTCATTAACTTGTTATCTAAAGGGAAAGTGGCTGAGATATCAGCGATTGTCAAAGCTGGCCGATTTGTCTCTCTCCCAGGTAGTTCTGAAGAGCATTTAAATGCCACCACTTTAGACGTTCAAGAATTAGTGTAATATAGGATAATGTGGCTTAATGTCTACACCTAAGAGATGATGTCTAGCATAACAAGCCTAATCTTTTACAATACTTGGAGGAAGAACTTGAATAAATTGATTTCGGAAAAAATCACACATTGCTGAAAATCCATCCACTGCTGAATTATAAGATTTCCAATGCCCTGCAAAACATTCACCTTCCTTTGAAAGGCTTAAGGATCTGCATTGAAAATTGCTTGGACTCACTGGGAGTGCACATACCAAATACTTTACCGTGCTGTTCCTGTTAAAGTGTTGCTAGTATAAGTACACAAATAATAAACTAGGGTTAGATGCTTGTTTTAGAAGCTACTTTAATGCACCGCTTCACTTATATTAGCAGCCTTTGCAAAGCAGTCCTCTGGAATACTCTGCATTCAACACATTGGTCTGACAATTTTGAGAGCCAGTTGGGTTGAGAGATTATGAGTTCTTGCCACAGGAACAAAGCTAACAGGTTGACCTTTGGCCACTCACTCTCTCTCAGCCCTTGAATGGAGGCATTGGCAAACCACTTCCAAAAATGTTACAAAGAAACTACAGGGTTTAGACCAGGTAAATGCCAGAAGTCAATGCTAACTTGACGACACATACACATTTACAGTATTATTAATTTATCTTGTCGGTATTACAGAATACATTAATTTTATCCCTACTACATTTAGCATAGAGTAAAATTATTATTTCTCCCTAATACCTGGGTTTTTAAAAAATGCATGCCCCCAACAAAAAGAAGTAACCAGCAGCACCATCTTTCCCCTTATCCTTAAACAATGGGTGAGAGCTACTTTTAATAAAATGAAGGCCATCAAGAGATTGAATGATAGATTTCTCAGGTGATTCATATGAGAAGATAGTGATTTCCAAATATCTAGAGGCAGGATGTCTTAAAACACTAGACGTGTTGGAATGATTTAGTGGTCAAGTATATCAAATGGAATTCTTTTTTTAAAAAAAAGCAAATAAGTACAAAATAAGGTGCAAAAATGGGTATCTACGAAATAGGGGGGAGTGGGGAAATCTGTCAAACATATGAGACAAGGAACATGAAGAAGAACTATTTAGTCTATCAAACAATGGATTCATCAGAGACTAGGGGAATTTCCTATGCATAGCCTATAATTTACGGATCCCATAGAAAGCAGCAGGAACTACTGGCATTGTGGTACAGATAAGTCTTACATCCATATCATGTGCCACCAAAATAACCTCATACTTGCTTATTTAGAAGTACAAGTAAATTCAGTATGTCCTACTTCACGTAAGCATGTACAGTATCAGTGGTGAGTTCGGGTGGTATGTCCTGGTGCAGACGTACAGGTGGAAGCCGGGAGCAGTGGCCACCGTACCGGTATAGTGGCTCGTTTGGCCCACCAACGTCCTATAGCTGTTTTTAATGCGACCGGCCAATTGTGCACACGTGCAGTGCCTGCGTGACCACCGCTGAGCAGCTCCGTGTCACAGGGCAGTAGCGTGTGCATGCATGCACATGAGCATGCCCAACCAGGATGTCCAGCTCCCAGTGTACCAGTTGTGATGGGATCTGGAACCCACCACTGTACACTATAGCATTGCAAATAAAATATCTTGACTATTTTTTTTACTTATGATGTGCAAGAAGCTATACCACAAAAGACTGATGAGCCGACTTGATATAAATGCCACAAGCAACAAATCCTATAAAATGAAATATAGCCTTGATCATACGTTGAAAAGGCAACATCAAATGGAATTCTCAAGCTTCAGGAATAAAAATCCATTCATCCAATCAAAGACATTCCGAGGTGGATGCTATCGACTGATCACTTCTGCTCCCATCTGTTCATTCAATCAGCATAATCCTTCTTATCTTCAAAATAAGGCAACATAAAGCATAAATGAAATCCTACATACAAGAACAGTTGGGAAAAAGGAACTAAAAACTGAATTTGAAAAATAACCTATGCAACCCTAAACAGCCACGGTGGTGCAATGGTTAGAGTGCAGTACTGCAGGCTATTTCTACTGATTGCTGGCTGCCTGCAATCTGGCAGTTCAAATCTCACCAGGTTCGAGATTGACTCAACCTTCCATCCTTCTGAGGTGGCTAAAATGAGGACCCAAACTGTTGGGGGCAATAGGCTGACTCTGTAAATTGCTTAGAGGGGGCTGTAAAGCACTATAAAGAGGTATATAAGTCTAAAGTGCTATTGCTATTTCCTATGAAGTGGGAAGTATTTTCACATCTGTGGAGAAAAACCACAGAGTTGAAAATGTCAAATTTCCAAAATTTTGGTTGTCTTTGTTATTAATCGGGTTAGAGTTTGATTCTTAACACTCAATTCAACAAATTTGCCACAAACAAACCAACATCTTCTATTTTAAATGTTTCATTTTACATGAAGATAGTTCTAGGATTTTAATATGGTGGGTTTTGATAAGCTATGTGGTAAAGGCAGCCAACAAGCAGTGCAATTCAGAGAGAATGTTTTTTTTAAAGTTTCAAGTCCTGTAGTATTCTATAGCTTCTCACTCTATCGTGAAATTGCACAGTAGGCTTCCCCAAGACCTTATTTTCTTCAGTGTCTGCTTTCTAGGCCAATTTATTAGGTTTTTTAATATCCCACAGATAACCTGGCATTTCTATCCAGGGGAGAGTTGAACAACTCCAAATGTGGTCGATCTCAGTTACTGCCCTCTTTTTACATAGCAATATAGCAATAGCAGTAGACTTATATACCGCTTCATAGGCCTTTCAGGCCTCTCTAAGCGGTTT